TGCACCTTTGGCCTGAGCAACCAAGGCCGCACCTCCGGAGATCAAACCGGGCGTCTCTTCTGAGACAAAACAAATAGTCTGCTCCATTTCTGTTTTCTCTTTCTGTTTCCTTTTTTGGTTTGACTATGGTCGATTTCCCGTTCAAGGGGACATGCCGGCTCTAGGTTGTTTTCCATTTCCGGGACTTCTGTCTCCCGTCCAATCCTTGTTTTTCTTGATCCTTAGATTTTCAAAATAAAAATATGACTTCCCCGAAAATTCGTTACCTTCGCCGTTAATGGCTTAATCGCCAAAACCGGCATTTCGCCGATATCTTCACCGATATCTTTGCCGATTTTTGTCTTTCCATCTCTGTTTCTCTTCAATGGTCTACTTCCATTTTGAAACATGTTGCTCATTTTCAATGTCTCTCTGTTCTGTTTCCGTTTTTGTTCTTCTGGGACATTTGTTTCCTTTTTTGGGAACGCCGTCCACTCCGTCTGAGGACTCTGTCCTCTCGCCGATTTTTCGGCAGCCGTCTCCTCACCTCTGAGGATTTTTGCCACCCCCCGATGATCTGGCTCATCGCCGATTATCACTTCGACTGTTGTTGAGGTACTACCGGCAAACCGGTATCCAGGCCCGCAACAAGTATCAAACCCACTATGCTACCGGTGCAATCAATTTGGACATTTCAATGTCACCTCGCTATATGAACCTTACCCTACCTCTAGGACACCAACTACACTCACCCACCTCGCTCCGTTGAGCGACTGGGATTTTGAGCAAGTAAATCAGTCTGAACGTCCGAGTATTCCAGTTTAGTACCCCCGCGCACCCCCGGCCGCCTTTGGGCAGTACTCCCATTGGTTGGCATTCAAGCCGATTCGCCGCATATGCACTTTGACCGCCAGGCATTCCATTAGTAATGCTAGGTATACCATCCCGGGATAGCGCGCCTTTGTGCCGCTTCCACCCTTAGTTTCCCCGTCACCTTCGGCCATCACACCGCTGGTTGACTACCCACCTTCGCCTATCTCGCTGATGCTTTGTCATCATTTTGTTGGATGGGCCGCGAACCCACTTGTCTTATGACAAGGTTGTTCTCCCTGAGGCTCCGTCGAGCAATGGTTCTTGAACATACTGCGTCTAGACAACAGCGCACCCAGTCTAACCCCAAACACTCCACTCCGACTCTACTCCGCTTTGCCAGACTTCACCGCTCTACCGCTAGGATCACGGACTCTAGTCATGATACTCCGTCAAGTGATTGATGTTATGGGCCACACATCCTGAGCATCTGAGCACCCAAGCCCCGCACCCTCCAACTTTACCGGTCACCGGCTTCACCACTGATGGTTGACACCCCATCTGGCCATCACCGGCCTTGTATTATGGGCTAACACCCCATCGCCATCGACCTCTCTGCCGACTCCGAGGGTATACCATGTTTCATCATGGGTTTCACCTTAGGACCGACTTTGAGGGAGAAAATTTGCTATTCCGCCTGTGTGTGGAATCCCGAACACCTGTGGTAGTTTATTGGGAATTACCCCGATAGCGCTGCACCCTCCGGCTTCAGCTATAATAGTTGAAGTACTATCCCGACACCGTGATGTTCCGCCGCTGTCCCCAGAAGACTCGGTGCAAGCCTATAAGTACAGTTAGACGATGGGACGTCTTCCCTAAGAGGGGGATAAGGACTCCGCGCCTAACAACTTCTGGCCTTTGACCGGTCTTCACCTAGGATTTTCGCCACGTCGTCCTGTCAACCACCGCACCGCTTTAGCCTGGAGCAAGCCCGTGCGTGACGCCGATCCTCCCTCACCACCTGGACATCACCCCTATCCACTCCCGACCCTTCGGTGCCTGAGTGCACACCCCTACAGCCCTCTCCTGACCTCATAGGTCAGTCATTGCAGAAGGCCTAGTATGGCCGACTCTTGTATTCCAACCCCCAATGACCTCTGAGCCCGTATCTGATGATACAACACCACCGGTTCCGAACCCACCTGGCTGGGTCCTTGTAACCCAGTTGAGGACTAGATGTCTTCCTCCACCCGCGCCTAGGTACCCCACTCCGAGCCTGTTTGGCTCCCCCAGTTGACTCCGATTCCCCAAATGGCCATAGGACTCCATCCTGTCAATCCCGCTATCGCCACCTTCGCTGTAATTACCATAGCGGCATGGAGTACCTCCTTGTGCCATCACCAAATGGGATCCCGAGTCCTTCGTCCCCGTTCTCCTGGTCACGCCGTTGCCACTTAGCCGAGTTTTCATACCAAATGCCGCAAGTCTGCGCATTCCTGGCCCTTGGCAGGCTAACCACCTGAACACCCTGAGCGAGTCTACCCTCGGCCCATGCTCCAGCACTCTGAGGACCTCGTCTCAACTTCACCATTTCCTTCCGTGATGAGTTTGCACCATGCCGCAGCAGTACCGTGCCTTGTACTGCCGCACCGCTGGGAACTCTATCACATTCCGTTCCTTCGGGCACTATGAGAGTCACTTGTGTGGTCTCCCATGTGTCATCATTTGACCCCTCCGCTTGTGGCTGCCTTGTGAGTTAACTTCTGTCCTCCCTGCGCCACATCCCCGGACTCTTGTCCTCCATGCGCTGCACCTCTGAACCTTTGGACATGATGTGAGTTGCCCAACCGGCCTCCATCTGGCACCTCCACACCCTTCGGGCCGATTAGGCCACTTCACTTCCGCCACCTGGATCCCTGGACTCATAGGAAGCATGGTAGGAAGGCCAAGTTTGAGTTAAGAGACAAGTCCACTAGCTTGTTCTCCTCTGACCTTCCAGCCCATCATCGCCGACTCCCTCTCTGACTTCCATTTTGAGTACCACACCAATCCCGCGCCGACTTCGCCTCCGCTTGAGGCATTTTGACCTTTTCCACGCCGCTGTTTGTGGCGCTCCGACTTTGTCTCCTTGTGGGACACCCTCTGCCGTACCCTCTGCTGATTCCGGACTCGATACCAAAGCAAGGTACCGCGCCCTTGTCCTTTTATGGACACCAAGACCCTGCCGAGATGTCGGCAGCATTCATCTCGCACATTCTCCCCTCCCGACTCTGGTGCTGTGCTGCAGCTGGCATTCCTGACACCGCTCTTAGGCCTTCAAGGGTTCAGGCCCTAAGAGGGGGATACTGTCACGGCCGTGCATTCCGGCCCGTTAGCCGCCCATCCCGATGCTGCCCGAGCCCATTCCCGCTATGCGAGCGTGAGCGCGAGCGCCGACCTCAGCCCTATCCTCCCTGAGGACTCCCTGCTCACTCCCGTGCTTGCCCCTAGGCTCCCCTGCACCTGGCCGACTCCCCCACTGCCACACCAACCTTCCTACCCCAAGTCCACCTCCGGCACCGTGCCCAGTGCGACTCCTCTACCCTGCCCACTTGGCCCCTACAGGGCCGCTACCATTCCCGCGCCCGACTCCGGCCCAACTCCGAGTCCAGTGCCGCTATGATACCATCGCCGCTATCGCGGCCCTACGCTCTTTCCTTTATTTATCTGTTATTGTTTGTTTTGACCCTTGGTCATTGCCGGCCGCTATGCGGCCAACCCCGCTCCTTATTCTTGTTTGCTTCCGGACCCTTCGGCCTCCGGCCCGGGTCCGCTTCCATTCATTTCTTCCTCCTATATATATCCTGTATGATACTTTGTTGTACCTTAGCTCTAATATTGATGTGACCATGACCCCTAAGTCCTGACCCCAACAAGGCAACCCCAGTGAGTCTGAAATGAGGGCCAAGAGACAGCTAGGGGGCACAGCACTCCCTTTAGAGTTGCTGAGGCCAAATGCCCTACCCTCGGGCCTTGTTCGCGGTATCATGGCCATCGCGGCCTATAGCAGCCCGCAATGGCGACCTTCAGTGCCAACCCCAGACCAGTGTCTAACAGCGAAAGCACAAGGAAATGAAGGGGAACTGAATCGGAACGAAGGCATCCAAATGGGAACAAAGGGATGACAGAAGCGGAGCGGTACCAAAGGTCATAAGGCAGAACCTGTGATACATCCGAAAGGAGGTAAGGAGGGCGAGGCCCAGAGGGGCAGGAGGATGAGGGGAAGTGGGGATGATGACTAACTGGCTAGAATGGGAAGAAGCAGCAGTCCAAATAGGGATGAGGGGAAAACGCGAGAAATACATTACAAGTGGCGAAAGTGCCGAAGATGATCTGCGAAGCTCGGAGGTTGTGGAGCTTATGGAGGCGGGGTTGAAAGTCCGAGGAATATTGGCAATGGTGTTTACGTAGTATGAGGTCACCAATGCAATGGACTAAGACTGAGGTGGAGTCAAAGTCCGAGGTAGGGACTATGACGGAGGCTTGGAGCAAAGGTACGAGTGGTGCCCGAGTACAAAGTACAGGTCAGCGGTGGAAGGTCGTAACTTGGTGGGAGGTCGGCGGAAGAGGACCAGAGGGAAGAGAGGGGAAGGAAGAGAGGAGAGGAGTCAGGTCCGAAGGTGGTATTGGAGCGGACGGGAGAAGAGTAGGAGGATGATGGAAGGGTGGAGGTGTTGTGAGGAGGGAGTGGAGGAGTAGGAGGAGGAGTAGGAGGAGGGTGGTGAGAGGGGTGGTGTTCGGTCCGAGGTGGTTATCGGAGCGGACGGAGATAGGACAGGAGAGTGACGGAGGGGTGGAGGTGGCATGGGAGGTGAAGGGTGGTGTGGTGCCAGGACCGAAGGTGAATATCGGAACGGACAGTGGTAGGGTAGGATTCCGGAGGTGGGGAAGGAGGAGGTCCGGAAGTCGGGTCGGGATCGGGTATGCACGGATATGACAAGTATGACCTTCACACTGACTTGGTATATCATCACATCTTTCCAAACTGATGCATACAGTAAGGTTGTTTTGCAAGCACTAGTATGACCTCTGGACAAACTTGGGTAGATGTGTTGTGCAACTGTTATCTTCATTTTGTTTACAGGGCCATACTGATGTTTGTGCACAATGATAAGGTAGCAAACATGAATGAGATTGCAAAAAGATGGCTATCAGTTAGGTCGTATTGTTGTTCACCAACATGGATATGACCATGCCTGCATGAAAACACCGTTGTGATTGGGGTCATACTTATGTACACAGACATATGATGATGACCAGGTTCTCAAGAGTATGGCTAGAGGATGTGATGATGTTTGTGTGGATGGGCACTCACCCCAGGATTTTCATCATCATCATTTGATGACTCTGAATCCTCACATAGGGATTGTTCTGAAGCCTTGTGTCTCAATGAGTTGGAAGGGACATGCATCTTAAAGGCTGGGACTTGGAATTTCTCTCCTATGTGTAGTCTGCAGCACTTATCACCCAAGAAGTGACGCACTGCACAGAACACTGGACACATGTGTGCTGGTTGTGCCAGGTGCTTGTAAACAGTTGCCAGCCCAGCTTCAAGCATTGCCTTTGTATGGAGTTTCCAGTCCTTCAGAAAGCAGCTTCCTGGCTTGAAAGCATTGGGACTGCAGGCCTCCACCAGATTGAGTCAGGCAAGGATAGCCACTGTGATTCCTTTCCACTCTGTGAAGAATTCCTAATAATTATTTGTTAGCTCCTCTAAGCCAGTGTGAATATGAGTGGGAGGACATATGTAGTTTGGTATGGAAAGCACTCATCATATTTGTATTCTCCTCCTGCTCAGGTGTATGGGATGCCTTTTTGATTGATTGAGTCTGCACTTTTTGTTCCTCCCTTTGCCACCAAGGACTCTCCTCCACTACAATGGCTGAGATAAAGATCAGCCACAGGTGGAAGAGTGGCACTTTGGCTTTCCATCCTGATTGAGTTGTCCAATATTCATGGTCCCATACAAGGCTGTGGGCATACTCCACCATGTTTGCACCTTTCTTGCATTCTGATGGAATGTTGCCCTCATTATGTTTGATTTGATGGGAGAGAGCCCAGGCTGTGAGAACCAATGCAGCAATGAGGCTTATGTGAAACCTGGCATTCAAGTGGTCATAGTTTTCTTTGAGCCACTCTGTCAGTTCATTGCACACTGGGTTCTCCAGCTGCTCTGCTTGAATCCAGTCCAGTGGGAGTTGAGACTGCTTGACAATCCATGTAAGGTCAGACAGCTTTGTCTCCATCCAATTCCATGATGCCTGTGGGTTGCTGTCTGCAATCTGGGTGCTGGCAATCCTAGCAGCAAGGTGATCAGGATCAGTCATTGTGTCAGAATGTGTTGATCTTTGGCTCTGGGTTGGGTACACCAAATCCACCCATGAATGATACTGAGCCCAAAGACTTTGCCTCCCAGAGGGATAGGTGCGAGAATGAGGGTATCAGTAGATGTGACTTAAATCCATCTGGTACATGATGGCCTCAATGCAGAACTCCCAGGGTGCCTACCAGGAACCATAGCCAGTGGAAAGTTCTCACAATGCTGCAAACACTTGCATCAGCACCTCTTGGGCAGACCCTCCTTGAAACAAGGGTGCACCCAGACATGATCTTGTGCTCTTTTTTGATGGCTCCTTAGCTCAATTGGCACAATACATCCAGAGGATTGCCACATGGAATAAGAATTTCCTTTGACATGGACATGTGACATGTTAAAGCATTAAACTCATCAGGTGCCATTAATCCTGTCACACAGCACTGATGCTCAACATGACCACCATCCCTGCAACTGGATTCCCTCATCAGCTTTTGTTCCACTGTCCCTGACTCCCCATGCTTGATGACCTGTGAAGCTGCATTGATGGTACTTGCTCGCTGTCAGGGCAATAGCCCTGAACCCTGAGCCACATGTAATTAAGATACATATAGTCACGTGGGTAAGTGGGAACCTCCAGGTAACTGCTTACACACTACCGTAAAATACACACCCTTGTATCACTTACGGCTCTGTGTGCTGAGCTACCCTGAGACCTCACACTGGCACACTGCTTAAAAGGTCACATGGGATGAAATTTTCCTTTGTATTGTGTTCATCTGGTGCACTGTGTTTGTAGGCTGAGCCAGGGTAGCTAGGGTCAAAAAAATTACACCCCACCCACAAGGAAGGAAACTGAGTGTATCCATCCTACAATGACACTGTCAAATATGAATGTTCAATTATCGAAACTAGGCATATTGTAAGGAAGTGGTGATTACATTATTCCTTTATTATTCCTTGTTGTACTTTTGTATTTACATATGTATGGTGCAGAGTCGGGTAAAGGGTTCTTTACTCTTCTCCTCACCAACGTTGAATACTAAGTTCTGTCTAACCTAGATCTCGACTGACCTGAGCAAGGTTGGCACCTACACCAGCCCTACACATATTTACCATTCAACACCACTTGATCCTTGTCCCAACCTTCTTTTTTTCTCAGGTTTGTGTGCTGTGTCATGCAGCTTTCATTTCAAGGATTGCCCTGGTTCAGGCTGTGAGGGTTGATGGCATGGGAACAACTGCCTGAATTTCTTGTAGTCATCCTTCCCATATGTCTTCCCTAGATCCTTGGGTTGGGGAACACTTTCACTGGTGAAAACACACCTGTCGGAGTAGAGGGCGATGATCATCCTTCCTTCTCCTTCCCATGAAGTGGCATCATGCATGATCCCAGCCCCTTGGGAAAAAAATCACCTGGATTGGAAGGGAGGGCATACCCCAATCCAGGAAACTCCAAAAGACACCCCTTGTACTTTCCACATCTGGCAACAGCATTGAACCCACACCAACAGGAAGCACTGTCACAGTGAAAATGGGTGTTGGCATTGAACCTGATGGTTTGAGCAAAGAAATGGGATTTGATCTCTGATAGATACCCTTTGGGGTCATGTTTGGACCTGATCCACTGCCAGACCTCTTGGCTTCTTTTTGCAAGTTTGGGAGCAAGCTGCACTGTGTAGATGTTAAGGATGTGATAAAATGCCTCACAATATTTTTGGAATTTTTTGTTGGCTGGCAGGCAGTCCCCTGCTTCCTTGCTTATGACAGGATGCTGATGCTAAAAAGAATCATCAGTGATTTATGGATAATAATTACATGACTGATGAACTCACTTTGTACCCTATGGGATGCCAATAAGCCAAGGACAATTGTCCCAACTTGAACAAGCCCTGAGGGATATCTTTGAAGTTTTTGTGATGATTATCTTTCCCAAACTTGTACTCCCTACTGAATTCTTGACCAGCTATAACCATATGGTCCTGAACCCTGAAGAGATTTGGAGTGATGAAAGGGAAAAGATGCCAGCCCACTTGTATCCCTTTGAACACATCAGATGGCAATAAGACTGTCATGCATGTCTTCTATAGCTGCTCCCCTTGGGTTGTCTAAAATGATCTTCTGTTCTGGTGGGATGAGGGGAAGCTTTAGGGCCAACATGTTCTCCTGGGTTCCATTGAGGTTCTGTCAGGGCACACCCTTGACCCCACACACCCTCAAACACCCCTTCCCCCCTCCTAACCACCCTTCCCCCATTTTCCCCCATTTTCCCTCCACTGTTCTGCAATGGTACAGGTATGCGAACCTGTGGGAATGTTCTGGGCAAGTTGCTTGCCCAGAAACCAGCACAGCCACAACCATGGGAACATTCTGGGCAAGCAGCTCAACCAGAATCTTCCCATGGTACCTAATATGGAAACTTGGGAAAGACCCAACAACTGCACAGTTCTCAGGCTCCTTTTGTAGTGGCCTCACAGGGGGTTGAGAAGGTTACCCTTCTTCTCAACTCATTCCCTGTGAAGCCCAGGGCAAGTCCCCTCAGCGACTTTGAGGAACCAGTGGCTGGAGAAACTCTCCAGTGCCACTCCTGGACCTCCTTACTATGTCCTAGGGGTCTGGGTGGATCAGATAGGATCGGATTAGGATCAGAAATCCCAGATTGGGACACCTCCCAATGGCCAATCTGGATCCACTGGATGAAAATCCCAGATGATCCTGGATGATCCTGGATAATAACATCTCAAGACTTCTTTGTATTTTAACATGTATTTACCTGAATTCCCATCATACAATAAATTTTGGAAGCTATTCAAATGGGCTATTCATTACCCCAAAAGACTCATGTCCAAAAAAGCATTTTGCATTTTTCTCGATAATTTACTGGTCAATTTAGTCTCAAATTGTATATTCTGGAAGCTATTCAAATGGGCTATCCATTGGTGTAAAGTGTGTTGACACCATGGGAAACAGCCCTGACACCCCTCTGGACAGTGGCCAGCATTGTGCACAGACAGTGAGTTTGGACAGCCACAAGTGTTTGCAGACTCGCGTTGTAGGCAGGATAATCGCCCACATGCAGAGCCAGCTTGGATACCCACTTCCACCATTCAGAAAACCCCTTCCATTCATGCGACAACTCAATATGACCTAAAAATAGTGCTAATTCCTACGATTCCGACGATATCAAGAACGTCCCAATCGGTGGAGAATTGATGGAGTTCTACGCTGGGCAAGTTAGGAATGGCAGGTCATGAGAGGCAACTCAGGATTCCAGCCTCACTCGTTCCCACGGCGTCTAATAAATTGGTAAAAATGTTCATTGGCTGCGTGAGAGTTATCTCCGCCTGCATTTCCAATTTCGGCTTTTAATTCCGTAAATCCGTTGAGATATCGCTTATTTTCTTATATTTTTATATTTTTGCATCATTTATTGATTGATATTCTTTTATTGTTACTGTTACCCTTTTCGATTATTTCGCCTAATAAGGTATGCAGGTGCCATATGGTACCAATATTCACCATCAATTATTTCTAAAAATAATTGTTCCTTATATCCTGTACATACTGGATTTTGGAAAAGAAGTTCTCCCCTCCCCCAAAATTCTCTAAGGTGCTAGGACGTGCTAGAGTGGGTGTGAGTGAGTGGAATTCCAACAGTAGGAATAAGGGCAGCTGTCTAGCTCACAACGAGTGAGTAGTGGACGCTGAGCCTGGACCTTGCGGGAATCCCAGAGAACCCACCATGGAGTTTGAGGATTGAGAGTATAGTGAAGTCAAGAGAGAGAGTAGAGTTTTGGAGAGTTTGGCCCCATGAGCTTAGTTGGCATCGAGAGCTGTGAGCCCTCTTGCAGCATCCAGAAGAGTATTTTGCATTTTTCTCAATAATTTATTGGTCAATTCACTCTCAAATTGTATATTCTGGAAGCTATTCAATGGGGCTATCCAACTATGTAAAGTGTGTCTAGACCATGGGAAACAGTCTTGACACCTCTCTGGACAGCAGCCAGCAATGTGCATGGACAATGAGTCAGGAGTTAAAATCTTTGCTACAATACAATAATTTCAATTGCAGGAGGCCCCCAAACCAATAAGGGGGCCATTAGTTGCATGCTAGCAATGGGACTCCATCCCAGATCATCTGGGATCATCCTGACCCCCAATCCTAATCTGGCATCCGGCATTGAAAATTCTGGATCATCCAGGATAATCTGATCCACCTGGAGCCCTACTATGTCCCCCTTGGATGAGGGACAGACCCTGACAGGTTCATGGCCTTATCATTGTTGAGGGCCACAGAGTGGTAATCAAAATTTAATTTGACTGGAGTAGAATAATTGATGATATCCTGATATCCATAACACACCCTATACTTTACCAGTAGTCTTCAGGGCTTCCTGAACACTTTCTGTTCAGCAGAGCAAACTGCTTCCAGAGTAAAGTTGTCAGTGACTCCTTGAAGGCAATCATTGGTGTTCAGACTGGAAACAATATCATGATGATTGCCAGGGAAGTGAAGCAGATCTCTCACAAGCAGGTGGCAAAGTGATGCTGGTGCCTGTGCTCATCTTTGTTGAGGAAGTGCAAAAATGGAGGGAATCTTTGCAACAAAATCACATGACATTCATCATCCAGCAGAGTCTATTTTTTATTTTTTTTAAACAAGTGCTGGCTGAAGCTCTGAGGATGACACTGGCTCCCTACTTCTAATACAACAACACTGAGGGTCAAGGGTTTGACTCAATGATGTTTCCCAAAGGAGGTATGAAGGGCCAAGGCTGTCAGGGCACATACCCTGACTTAGCCCAGACCTGGACCCGCATCCAGACCCACTCCACTTCCTGCATGCACTTCCTGCACCACATGCTCCAGTCCCCAGATCCTACCTTCATGTGACTTCTGGGTATCCCCGGAAGTTTTTGCCATATTGGGGCCACTGTGGGAAAGTGAGAAGTTAACCTTCTTCTCACTTTCTTACCCACAGTAGTTGTGCCCTGGACAGGGCTGTTCACAGGTTAGACTGTGGGCCATAGAGAGGGGTCATGGGGACCTGGGGTCCATCCCCTGACAAAGGCCGGAGGAAGGATGGAGGATGGGAGTGGGGAATGGCTAGCTGACTGAATAGAAAGAAGCAGCAGCCCAATAGGAATGAGGGAGAATAGTGGAATTGAATAGGACAATGCAGTAAGAACTGCAAGGTCCATAACAAACTCTGGAATATTGGCAAAGGTAAATAAATGGAATTAGCTAACCAATACAGTGGACATAAGCAGAGGTGGGGTCAAAGTCCAAGGTTGGAGCTAAGACCAGAATTCTGAGACAGAGATGTGAATGGGATTCCAGAGCAGAGGTCTGGAGTTGGGAGTGTAGGTGTTCCTGTCTTGAAGGTGTTGTGGTTGAGGTTGGACCTGGAATGTTCTGGAGTTGGACTGAAGGTGGTGTTGGAGCTGGAGGTGGGATAACCTCTTGGGAGTTGGCAAGGGAAAGGGAGGTGAAAAGGAAGTGGGGCTCTGGAGTCAGTTTTGGAGTTCTGGGAGCCTGGAGTGGAGGTTGGGATTGTATGGATATGACAGAGGCCATGTCCTTCAAGGCTCTTGTATAACCTGCAGACTCCAGAGAAGCCTCAGCCCACTACCTGGTGCCCTGGACCCCCTAGTTGAGCCCCATCTGCACCAGAATCGGTGTGTTTGACACTGCACCCATTTCAGTCCTTTCCCAGCCTATTATGCCTGTGTTAACTGCCTTTTATGGTACTTACTGGAAATAGAAAGCGCTATATATGGTAATTTCTGACTACATCTTCCTGCCTTTTATGGAACCTTCAAATGGAAATTGTCATATCCATCCACGGCCATCATCTTCCACTACCTCCAACCCTTCTGGACTACCTCCACTGAAGGAGAGAACGAAGGAAGGTCAGTTGGGAGGTTCAAACGAGACCACCACCAAGCTGTTCCCTGGTTCTTTAGTTAGGATGGGGAAGTGTACTAGTATTATTTATTGTAAATATAGTACCAATCCGAGTGTTTTGGCTAATTCTATTTTTATGGGTTAGTTTTAAAATTCCTGGGAATTGACTTACAGATAAACCGAGCCCTGTGGAGCTGTTTCTTTATTGAAATTTCTTAATTTGTCTAGGTGTAATTCTGTGTAGCGTTGTTTAATTTGGAATTTAACTTGAATTTAATCTTCTACTTGGTGAAGTTTCAAAGATTCTATTCAGTTAATGGATTTGGATTGTGTCTGGAGTGTCCCTTGGGTTTGTTTTATTTTTGTCTTATTTTATTGCTTGTTTTAACAGTAGCAAGATAACTGTTTTGTGTTTACACTTTGAAATCTGGAGTGTTAACCAGCTCTCCTGTTGAAATATTTACTTAATATTTCTCTCCTTAATTGCTGCCTTTTACTACAGTGGCAATCTTAACTGTATATCACTTTTTTGCACTGGAGTGACAACCAGAAATGCTTGAGAAAAATAATACTCTATTTTCTTACTTCTCTAAGGGGGGGTGAAAAGTCGCAGAAAGGGTCTCCCTTTTATACTCCTTGGGTTGCCTTCCTTTTTCACGCTCTACCTTCTATTTACAGGATTTATTTACAGTGTATTTTTCTCAAACTGAATAAAAAATGAAATTTTCACGCTATAGTTCTACTGTGCTTTTGCTGCACTGAACTGCGGTTCTACTGCGGTCAGACTGCACCTAGAATCCTTATTGTCCTCCCTCGCCTAAGCTATTTTAATGGTTAATTAGAACTTGGCTGCGCTGCATTTGTCGCAGTTACCTATTTCAAATTCCCTATATATACCATTAAATTTGCTATGACTCGATGATTCTGAATTCAAACTTCGCATTACTATGTGTACGGCTGTGCTGAGACCTTCAGCTGATTTATTCCATTTTTATTTAGTGACATTTAGTTAAAATGAGACTGAAATGGTAAATGAGTGAATTATTCAGGTTTAAAACTGAAAGAAAAA